CAGCGCGCCTTGTTGAAAAAAAATTGATGCCTCAGGTATAACTATGCAAGTTACTAATCTTTGTCGTCACCCGACTCACGAGTACCTCTTGCGGCAGTCTCAGCTGTGAAGGCGGTAAGTCCCACGAGTCCCAACTAGTTCCAGGCGTCCCACATCTGCGCCAAATGATTCCAAGCGGTTCGTGTTGGTACCAACTAGTACCGAGTGGTGCTTGAGGATACCCACTAGTGCCTGGTGGTCCCAAGTAGTCCCACGTCCTTCCTTTTTACTTCCAGCTGATGCCGGTAGTCAACACCACCTCTCCTGGTTCTCACAAAAAATAAAGGACCACTCTCCACTTGCCGGTACTGCCTCTTCCGTTCACGAGTCCCATCGGTCCCTCCTGGACAATACACGACGTTCCGCCCTTTTGCTGACGCAAAAGAAAATAAATGTCACCACCCCACCGATTTTTACTCAAAAGCGGCAATTTCTGACGTCGCTGCCGACAGCCAGCACTTTCGAGACCTGTCGGCCTTGAATTTCAGCAGCATAATGCTGCCAAAATTATCACCGTTGGCATCATAACGTTTCCGCAGCACTTTCCCACATTAGTGGGGGAAATAGCTTGCCGTGATTTTGTTGAACATGGTGCCGCCGCTAATAGCTTTCTCGTCTGCCACTTACCGCCGGAAAAATTTGGCAGCACCTCCCCACGCAGGTAAAAAGACAGCTTGCCGTAGACCTGGTCCACCGGTACCGCCGTCAACAGCCTTGCCGCCGCGGGGTCTCTGAGGCGGAGTCGTGACTCGCTGTGGCTGCTGGTTCGCCTCTATGCTGAAATACATAACACCCTGGTAAAATTTTGGCAGGATCTCCCCACTAACGTGGGAAAAATGGCTGACCAAAATTAATAAATTTGGGCCCTAGGCCCAAATTCCGCCGTGCAGCACCACCATAGTCCGGCAGCGTCCCTGGGTCAGTCCCGTGGGACCAGCACCAGCCAGAGGGGAGGGGAGCAGACTGCTCCCTGCCTTGGCTATGGCTGCCCAACTCCTCTCCTTGCGCTTCTCTGCAGATCTCCAGCCTCCTCCCACATTGCCTCAGGCAGCACCTCCAACAGCCAGCAACTCTCAAGTGTGCTCGTCACACACTGGCATCACGAGTGCTTTGTGTGGCAGCTGGGGGACAGCTGCCTGTTTTATAGTGGCTAAGGAGAGGCAAAATCGCGGGCTCACAGTGAGCCCTTGATCTAGCCAAGATCCAGGGCTAACTGTGGCCGCACCTCAACCACAACCTTAGTGAGGGCAGTTTCTTTAACTGCCCTCATTTTTTTATTTTTTTTTTGTAACGAACAATGTCTTTATAAAGCCGGGAACCGGGCCCGGCGTCCCTTACAAAATTATGTGGGGCCCTCAGTGGGCAAGACACCACTAGATTTAACCCCACTTTCAATTTCACAATCCCAACCACTCAAAAAGTCAACGGAAATTAGTCAACGAAAATTATCATCACAATCTAAATTATCCCCGAGAATTTAAAAATCTAAGAAAATCTAAAACTCGTTACTAAAAAACGTAATTACAATGGTCATGTCAACCCTCAACTAAAGCCTCGGGCCTGGGCGCTTTGAGGCCCAACCGGAAGCTACTGGAAGCTTCCAGCCAGGCCACACGCAACATCCAGGAGGCTGCCACTTCCATATAGGAAGTGACGCAGCCCAGGCCAGGCATTCTGGCCTGCGCAGGCAATGTGGTCACGCTGCTGCGCTGCTGCATAGGATGCTGCGCTGCGGCCATTGTGGGGCGCTACAGGGCAGCGGTGGGCGGGCAGCCCTAGCCGGGCTGCTGGGTGCAAGGGGGTAAGAGGGGGCGATCTGGTGGTCTTCAAAGAAGGAGTCGAGTGTGTGGGTTCTCATGGTCTGATGAGGGTGACGAGATACATACCTGGTGCATGAAGAGAGGTCGGCTATGGTGTTGACATCATGTACATTAGTCTTCGAGAGTCGAAGTAATCCTGTTGCGTGAACATAACTGTAGGTAGGATAGTCGAGTAGAGTAGGCTAGGCTTTGGGCGTCAGACAAAGAGGAGCGACTTTGGATACTGTGTTGGTGTGGCCTGAGGGATTGAACATTGGCTCATTACTTCATTGTATTGCTCTATTTGGATGGATTCTCGGTGCAATTGTGCTCTCTGCTTGTACACGACTACTTGGACAGTTTTGTGATTTCGCAACTTGGTTATCTGTATATCATTCACACTCGTATTCCTTGCAATTTGGTATCAGAGATGGTTAGTGATCGCCGCTTACGTGGCGCTGGCAACGCTGACGATGCTTCATGTGCAGGAAGGATACTTTGGCGCTGGCATTATAGAGCGGGGCCCAGGTAGAGGGGCCGACCGTTGGAAGGTCGTGGCGACAACGTGGGCGCTGTGGCGACAGCAGGTGTATGTATGATGACGAGAGCATGCTGACGTGGCATTTTGGCTGAGGATGCACTGCATTGCGTTGTGGGTGGTACCGAGGCTATTGGCCGATCATCAAAATGCACGTCGGCCCAATTGGTGAGAAATTTGTGGTTGGGGGCAGCTATCTCCAGGCACGTTGTTCCCATTCCTTATCTACCCTCTCAATCTCTTATTACCGTGAGGAAGTGAGTCCAACTTTGAGTGTCCTCTCTTTGGTGAGGAGTCGTGTGCGCTCTATCTTGAGAGATGACATTCTTCCCGGTGGCGCATCTGGTAGGAGAAGGTGGTGCCTTCTGGGCCCTGGTCGAAGCATGGGTCACGGTCACCATGCCAACCCATGGGAGTAGTACACGCAGGCCACGCTGCTTTGTCCTTTGAGGCTGTTTGCTGCGCTGATAGAAGGGGTGCGCGGACTGACCAGTCCTAAGCAAACGCTCCCAGACCGTTTGTAAATATTTATGGTTGGGGTCTGAACCGTCCACTGGCTGTGATCGTCGTCCTGATTGCGACATTAAACCACCAATACTTGGCCCATACATCGGCCGCGGGCCCTTAGCATTAACGTTACGCGTTTCCCGCGCTTCGGCCTACCGGACCGCACTGGCTGGAGGCGCCAGCCAAAGTGGATGTCGTTCAACGCCGCGACTGTTCGGGGAACTTGGCGCGCAGGGGGTCGGCAGGCTCGACAGGGATAGCTGGGCCAAGTACTGGTGGTTTAAATAATTCCCGAGGACTCTCGGGGGCTGTCCTTAAATTGCCTCTTGATCAGCCAGATCAGTCAGACGGAAGGCTCGTTGCACGCCGCCGGTAAATAACGGGTAGGCTGGTCATAAGCATACGCCTTGGGCATAAGGGTGTGCCGATAATGCACACCTTAGACACCGCCGCTTGATGATGCTCACATGTACGTTGGATACAGGGGAAGGGGATTCCAATTGAGGGCTCGACTGTAACACACTATCCTACCCATAACACTATCCTACCCATTGTGCATTCATCTGCTCACATTAGTTTATTTTCATTTTGATTAGTTGGTTGACAGACTACTTACACCTAACAGGCAACCTAGAGTAGGGCTGTAATCTACCATAGTCAGTTCTTCTCAAAGCTTTTGTAAGAGAAGTAATCGGAATATGAGTAGACTATGTGTACAGTCTGTGTAGAATGTTGTTGATGCCTCTTGACCGGTAGTCTGGGTAACTCGCCGGATATTATTATTCTTATTTTTTTTTTTTTAACTGGTCAGACGCATGCTGCGGTAGGTCCCAGGGAGGACACTACTGCAGACAAATGACGATAGGAGGCAGACACGACGGGACACAGGCAGGATACCCATAGTGTTCCAGGTCCTACTACCAGGAGACGAAAGAAGAATAAGGGCCAAAGCTAGGGCCCGTAATCTAGAGACTGCAAGGGAAGCAGCAGCAACTACGAAGATATTATTAGCAGCAGCAACAACCACCAGTGTGGTAGCAATGGCTACCTCTGCAGCATCGTCTGCTGCAAACTCCCTCGGCATGCCGTAGGGATGGTCCGCCAGATTCGGCCGCCTTGCTAGCGGCCTCCTACACATCTGGGGAGGATGCGAATGTCACAAGTCCTCGGTACACTTACGAGGAGTATGCTGTCCACTTGGTCCCACCGTTGGACCAACCGCTCCACGTGCAACAATCTACCGCATGAACGGTTTCATCACCATCGGCAACCGATTCTGCAGCTTCGCCGCCATCTATTGCCAGGAATTCAACGTCATGGTCAAGACTTGAAGAGCTCGACCCGTTGACGTTTGCGGACTTCCAATGGATGCCCCTTCCCCGGTCCGGTCGATTGCCGAAACCGCATTGCAACGTGCTCATGGCACAATTGCGGGATTATTTGCACACTGCAGTACCAACTCCGTTGATGGACGCCGGAGTAGAGATTGTTGACCTTCACGACTACATTGCGAAGATCGACCGCGAGTTCAAGACACAACGGTACGACGACATCGACGCACCATTGTTATATGTACACATTCAGATCTGAGAGGCGACCTGCAACGCTTTGATCAATTGCGGAGCATCTCGCAACTACATGAGCCAGGACTTTATGGTAGGCGCCGACCTTGGCCCACGCGTCCGGAGGAAGTCCCAGCCTACGCAAGTCACATTGGCAGACGGTCACACGCACAAGTCAATCGACCGGTTTATAGATGACGTCCCCGTGTACTTTGCCCCGCATGCAAGCGAGGCGGTGTCCTTCGATATCTTGGACACCGAATTCGACATGATCTTGGGCATGTCATGGCTGTGAAGCGAGGATCACCCGGTGAACTTCTACCGTCGCACCGTTCACGTTCGTGATCGGAACGGAGTACTAGTCCCATGCACGGTGGCTCCTCCTCACCCTTCGAGCTTCCATCATCAGAGACGACATCGAGGAGATGGGGGGGTGTGTTCTCCACGCCCTCCCACCCCATGACGCTTCATCAACGAACTCAACTTCAGACCCACGCATCATCGAACTTCTTGATGCCTACGGCGACGTGTTCGAAGGCCCGCACGGAGTAGTACCAGATCAGTCCATCCGCCACGAGATCATCCTCGAGGACGGGGTTGTACCTCCGCGTGGTTGCATCTACCGAATGAGCGAGGAAAAGTTAAGTGTGTTGCGGGCACAACTCGACGACCTTCTGGAGAAAGGCTGGATTCGGCCTACCTCATCGCCATACGGTGCTCCTGTTCTCTTTATCCGAAAGAAGAACAGGGACTTGAGGTTGTGCATCGATTATCGCAAGCTCAACGCGCAAACGATCAGAAACGCCGGCCCTCTTCCACGCATCGACGACCTTCTCGAGCGGCTGGGCGGCGCCAAGTTCTTCTCCAAGCTCGACCTCAAGTCGGGATATCACCAACTCGAGATTCGGCAGGAGGACCGCTACAAGACCGCGTTTAAGATGCGATATGGGCATTTCGAATGGCTGGTTATGCCATTTGGCCTAACAAATGCCCCAGCCACTTTCCAAGCGGCTATGACAACGGAGTTCCGACACATGCTGGATCGATTCATACTTATCTACCTCGACGACATCCTGGTGTACAGCCGGAGTTTGGACGAGCATGTGGAACACCTACGCACAGTTTTGGAGCGGCTACGACAAGCCAAGTACAAAGCCAACCGTGACAAATGCGAATTCGCACTGCAGGAGCTGGAGTACTTGGGACATTATGTGATGCCACAAGGCATCCGTCCGCTTGCGGACGAGAGTGAGGCAGCCCAGGCCAGCATTCTGGCCTGCGCAGGCAATGCGGTCACGCTGCTGCGCTGCTGCATTGGATGCTGCGCTAATGGTCAGGGCGCTAGCAGGGTGCGTAGAGGTGAAATGGGGCGCTGCAGGGCAGATGTTGCATACTGTAAAGGTGCAGACCAGAACAAGAACCGACCTCTCTAACAAAGTACAACATAGTGCAGCGGAAAACTTATACCAATGATCCGAACAATCAATATTGCAATGCAGCCCCGAACATACATCATCATTATCATTCCATGGTGTGAAGGGGTCTGGTGCGCACACAGGAAGAATGCGCCGGCCCCAACCATACACAGACGAAGCAGAGGGGGGTTAGACGAAGAAGAGGGGAAGATGGGAATGTCGTCAACACCAAGTCTTCGGCGCTGGCCCAAATAGTCCCTCGTCAAAATGTCTGAATCCCAATGTCGAGTCTGGATCCAATGTCGTCAAGTCTCAAGTCACAACTCTCTCTCTCTCTCTCTCTCTCTCTGTGGTAGTCCGCTGATACTGAGAAGTCAGGTGGTGAGAGGCGAAGAAGAGGTGGTGGACTTAAAAGAGGAAGAAGAAGAACTCTCTCTCTCTCTCTCTCTCTCTCTCTCTCTCTCACACACACACACTCTCTGTGTCCGGTACTAACCTGTGAAGCTGGCGCCTTGATGCAGGTACCTATGGCGCCACAGGTAAGTCTCACATGCCTCCGCCAGCCATCTCTGCTCAACACTACTACTACCACCTACTAGCGCCCAGCGCTGAAGACTACTGCTAGCGCTAGCACTCAAGATTTGGCCGCAGCACTCAGGAGGAGCGCTGCAGGAGTAGCTTAGCGCTAGCAGTAGTCTTCAGCGCTGAAGACTACTGCTAGCGCTAAGCTACTCCTGCAGCGCTCCTCCTGAGTGCAGCGCTCCTCCTAAGTGCTACTCCTGCCTTTTGTCCCATTACCTACCCGTGAAGTGCATGGGAACTCCCTATGTACTTCTCGGCCTGCCTCCTGACTACAGGGCGAGGCCGTCCAGGAGGCTGCTCGTGCCAATGTCGAAGGGAGTTGGGGGCTGCCGCTGCAGCTCCTGCTTGAGGCTGTCGTGGGAACAGGCCAGAAATAGCCTGTTCCCGAAACCCTGGTTTTGTGCCTGAGTGTTAGGGCAGGTCGATCTTATGAGGGCCCGAAAGTGGCCCTCCGTTTCAGGCTGAAAAGCCTCAGTGCTGAAAAGCCCTGTTTTAGGCTGAAACGACATAGGGCTTGCAGGCCCTCGTTTTCAGTCTTTCAGGCTGAAACGACACGGGGCCTGTAAGCCCTTGTTTCTAGGCTTTTAGGCTGAGAATGCGGGACGGGCCCTGCAGGGGCCGTGTGGCTACGCAATATGCCACACCCCCCCCTCCTTGAAAGACCGAGCTTACCTGCGAGGGCGAAGCTGTCTGTCTAAGGGAGGGACCACAATCCGGGTGGGAGGGGCAGGTCATGAAGTTCCTTGAGCTAACCTTTGTCGCTCGTAGTGAGCGTAGATCAGCGGTGCGGATGCTTTCAAATCTGCTCTTGAAATCCACGGAGTGTCGTCGGGATCGCATGCTTTGAATGTGACTTTGTACTGTCGAGGCGTACTGTCGTACTTGCGATCCGTGATGATGCGGTCAACTTCCTGATGACCATCCATAGATGGAGGGTCCTGCCATCGTCGGTCCGGAAAGTCGTCGCTCTTAGCTGGTGTATATGTTGCCAGCTTCGACGCGTGAAAGACTGGATGGACCATCAGATGCGGGGAGATGTTGATCACAAATGAAGGGCCATCGGGCTCATCGCCCGCGGCTGATGTTACGGGCCATGGTCCAAAACACTTGGGAAGCAGTTTGCGTGAAACATCCTGATCCAGTGCTCACTCTTCCGCTGAAACCCAAACCAGATCACCGGCGCGGATGGGACATGGTACGCGACGCCTGTTGGCTTGCTGCTGCATGCGTACTTGAGCCTTTTGCATATTCGCGCGGGCTTGAGCCAGCAATTCTCTGTACTTCCGGACGGAAGCGGGAGAGCAAGCGGCGTCGATGTCGGCTGGTCGTGGTAGGAGAAGGTCGACGAAGATACGGCCTTTCCGTCCACCGTGGTGCAACTCGAATGGAGTCACGCCGATCGCCGGGTGCACCGAAGTGTTGTAGGCGAACTCGATGTCGGGGAGGCGGTCAACCCAATCTTTGTGGTCCGGACGGATGAGCGTACGAAGCATCATTTGAGCGGTTTGATGTGCCCGCTCCATTTGCCCGTCCGTCTGTGGATGCCGAGCCGAACTTGGTTTCATCTTCGTGCCGGACTCCTGCATGAAAGCAGTCCAAAATGTCAACATGAAGCGAGTGTCGCGGTCGCTGACTATGTCTTCCGGTACACCATGGCCGCAAATCCAACCGGTGTGCAAGAGGCGTGCCACCTCGGGAGCCGTGGAGTAGTACTTGCAAGGGAGAAAACGCGCATACTTACTCAAACGCTCCACAACTGTGAGGATGCCGTCGTGCCCAAGGCGATCGCGGGGAAATGGTCCGGTGACATCCATGGCAATGGAGAGGCCGGGTTCTCGTGGGATAGGCATCCGGCGCAACTCGCCGTAGGGGTTGCGATTGCGGGGCTTGCTTCGTCGACGAACTTCGCAAGAGTCGCAATACCTCGTGACATCGGTAATGAGGTCGGGCCATCGGAATTGTTGTCGAAGCCGTGCAATAGTGCGGTTGGCTCCGAAATGGCCGGCGAGTCACGAGTCATGGTACTCCCCGAGAAGGCGAGTCCGACGACGACGGTCTCGTGGGACACATAGTAAGTCCTTGCCTCTCAAGTGGAGGAGCAAGTACCCGTCGGTAATGCGATAGTGGCTGGCCGGCGGATGATCTGAAGATAGCTGCACATACAACGTGGCAAAGTCCGGATCAGACTCATAGCCCCGGATGAAGTGTTGCTGGAGTTCCTTGTCGAATACGAAGGCATGATGTGTCATAGCGCAAAGATCAAGTCTTCACGAGTGCATCTGCTGCGCGATTGGAAAGGCCGGGGAGATGTTTCGGTGTGAAGTCAAATTGGTCGGTGAAGTACATTCATCGCCCGATCGTGCTGCTCACCGTATCCTGCGTCTTGTAGTAGGTCAACGGGTTGTTGTCCGTGACCCATGTGAACCTACGACGCCCAAGGAGGAAGTGCCGCCATCGCTTGAGAGCCATTACGAACGTGAGCAGCTCCTTGCATCATCAAGCGAATTGATGGGAGGCACTTTGTGGTTGAAATACTCCACAGAGTGTCAATCGTCGCCTTCATGTTGTTCCAAGATTGCCCCAATGCCATAGCCGGAAGCGTCAGTTGTCACTCTCGTAGGCAGGGTGGGGTCATAGATGCTAAGGACGGGTGCCATGAGCATGGTCGTCTCAAGTGCTTGGAATGATCGGTGTGCATCGTCATCGAATGCGAATGGCACCTTTGGCGATTGTAATCTCGTCGTAGGTGCAACAATCCTTGAGAGTACCCGGTGATGAATCGCTGATACTAGCCCGCCAACCCCATGAATGAACGGACATCCAAGGTGTTGGTGGGCTCGGGCCATACGAGAAGAGCCTCGATCTTGTCCGCAAGCGTTTCCCCAAATGACCTTCATTTCCGATGCCACTCTGAAGGCCTTCATTGTTCGTACGAGGGCTTGGAATGAGCCGTTGTTGGCACGAATGAGGACAGTGAGGTCATTAGCGCAGTGGGTAGGGTGAAGTCGTGTAATGGATTGAAGTTGCGTTCAGTAAGGTGGTCAATGGAAGGTTCTTTCGAAAGGCAGGCAACTATGGCTTCCATAATGACAAGGAACATGGGCGGGGCCAATGGAGTCTAACCGATCTTGAGATCGGGTAGGTCTCGGAAAGAATCCTATTGACTTGAACTTTGCCTTTTGCGTCTGAATATAGGACTCTAACCCATTCTTTGAACTTGGGCCCTACCCCCATTTTCTCCATGCAGGCATGCAGGAAGCCGCAACTGACCTGATCGTAGGCCTTTTCCAATAAAAAAAACAGGATTGCTGCCTTCATTCGCTTTTTGTGATCTTCTTTGCAGCCTCATTTAGTGTCATCACATTATCTAGTATGTACCAGCCAAGGATAAAGCCTGCTTGGTCGATATGAAAGCATTTGTTTGTTAGCTTTGTGATTCTGTTTGCAAGGGCCTTAGCGAGGATTTTGTAAAGAGTGGTGCGTAGTGATATGGGTTTATAGTTTTTCAGGTCGTCTTTGTCTCCCTTTTTGTGCAGCAAAGGGATCACACTGATGCTTAGTTCCTTGCCTAGACCTCCCTTTTCCCTGCTGTCGTTGAAGAACTCGAGCAGGTCCTCCTAGAGTCGGCCAGAGGTGGCTCCAAAATTCTTTCGAGAGGTCGTCGATGCCTGGAGCTTTGTCATTTCCCATGTGGGTCAGGGTTGCATGCAGCTCAGCCAGGGTTAGGGGTTCGTCCAGGCCTTCCGCTTGAGCTGTCAGGATCGTTTTCTCTAGGTACGACATCATGTGTTGACAGGCTTTTAGGTTTGTTGTGGCCGGGGGGTGAAGGCGTCTTCGACTCATATAGATCTGTGTAGAATGTCCTGGTTATGTTGACCATCTCTGTACCTGCTGTTTTGACATTTCCTTGATCTGATGGGTCTTTGAAGGCCTCTATCATGTTATTCCTGGCGTTCGCTTTGATTCTGGAGAAGAAGAATTTAGTCATGGTTTCACTGACTGTGTAGTCCGTAATCCTGGCGCGTATTTGCAGTCCTCTGAAGTCCCATCTTCTCCATTCGTTTAGTTCCTCTTTGGTATCGGCTAGTAAATCCT